TTCTTCGGTCCGTTCTTTCTGGCCAGCCTCGTCCTGCGCAGGACCAAAGAGCACCGGGGCGAATCCTTAGGTTCCTAGTGCCTGACTTCGGTCAGTGTGACCCTGCCCCTGCACGGCAGAAGCAACAAGACTTTAAAGATGGAAACAACTGGGCTTGTGCCTCTATTTGGGGGGCTTTGGGATTGTGTCATCAGAGCGTGAGGGGGTTAAAAAATAGTTGTTTGAGGTGGTTTTTTTACCCCCATAATGAGGAATTTTCAGCTCTTCTCTGCCATGTTTCTGTTCGGAAGCTGCAGAGAGGTGGGTTGGGAGCTCGCTGTGTGTTCTGTTAATGGAAGAGTTTTTTCTGCCAGCTGATGCCTGTGATGTTGCTTGACTGATGTGAATCCAGATTCACAGGCAGGTGAGCAAAATACCCCTCCCTCCCCCCATGCTAATTAGATTGCACGGTCCTGGGGAAGGGGGGTTAGAACCCATCTCCTGCAAGCTTCGGGTAGTGCAGGGCTCACGAGAATACCATACCGGGCAGCCCCTAGACAAACGTAAAATGCTGCTTGTTGATTGTCCAGGAGTTTATGGGGAACGTAACCTTCAGGTCTGTTCTCACTGCGCTCGCATCCCAGCAAAGCCAGTGGGCGTGGTAGACGATCAGGCCTTTTGCTGACATAAACCAAGGGTCGGATTCTGAAGTGTGTAAATCTGGAAAGACTCCAGTGGAGTGACTCCAGATTCACACAGGTCTAGGTAAAACCAGAACCGGGGCCTAGCAGTGCTTTGGTGCAGTTCCCTCCCCATTTTGGGGAACAATGTGGGCGCAAGGCAAAGTCCACTCTTGTACTAACGCACGATCACGGGGCATGGGCAGAGGGTTATAGGCGGAGCCGCAGAGCCCACTCCCAGCAGGGGTTGACGGACAAGACCTTTCTAGGGGACTGGGGTCTAATTTCTGCCACATGGTCCAGCGAAGGCCTTCAGTACATCAGCTGGTCCTGGGTGCGGTCAGCGGGATGGGTCTTAGCCCTGCTAGTAAAGACAGGCCAGAACGTCCGCTGGTATAAACCAGTGTCCTGCCATTGGTGTCTTTGGTCTCTTACACCAGCAGGGGACACCGTCCCGTTGATTGGAGGCGTGATGCTGGGGGATCTGGTGCTCTGTGTTACCTCTCTCAAACAATGCCCAAATTCTGCCCCCATTGAAGTCCGAGGATCTAATTCTCCTACTGCTCAAATGACTGAGTGAAGAATGAGGTCTGCTGACTCCACTGGACTCAGGCCTGGTTAACACTGGAGAGAACGAGAAGGGAACTAGGGCAGCTATTCAGTCCTAGCGCTGAGCAACCTCCCTGCCCGTTCCCTTGGTGCGCAGAGAGCCGGGATGGATGGTGGCCCTTTGGGTCAGGCTGTTATTGTTTAAAATGATCCCACGGGCCTGGGCTGAAGTCCCCAGTAGGTTAGTTACTGAGGAGCTAACGGGTTTCCTGTTGGCCTGAATTGTTTTTATTAATAAAAGGGCCTAGAATGTTTGAGGTGGTCCCCCACCAGAAAAGAGGGGGCAGGGAATGGATTCGCTGGTCAGTTTCACAGGGCTCTGTCCCGAAATGGAGTCGCTGAAGATGATACAACCAGCTGTGCGGCTTGTTAATGAAGATTAAAGTGCTTTTCTGAATAGCGTGTGGTGTGGGTGCTTTCACAGCTCAGCTGGCTTGAAAGTGAGATAGGCCCAAGCTGAATGTCCCAGTTCTTCTCCCTTCAATGAGAGGAAGAAACTTGGGGACCACGCACAGCTGAGAGAGAGCAGGAGGCAGCGGACAGGAGTTTGCAGTGGGGTGTGGTGGTAATGAAATGATGCAGTGTGGGGGCTCTACGGGAAGAGCTCTCCCCCTTTCCCTTCTCCCCGAGTTAGTGCTGGGCGGCCTGGCCCAGGAGGGGCAGGCAGTTGTGCCCTCCGAGTTCCCTGAGCAGCAGGTTGCAAGCTGCCGAGAAGCCATCCGAGGAGATGCTGCTGCTGAATGCAGTGAGATCCAGCTGCTGCCTGGCATGCTCAGAGAGGGGGTTGAAGCTCAGGATCGTGAAACAGCGTGTGAAGCTTGAGACAGCTCTGCAGGGACATGTTCCTCCCGGGGAAGCTGGCAACGAAAGGCCGAACCAGTGGGAGGTGGTTCAGTGTCATTGACCCCATTTGTGCAGGTGGGGAAACTGAGGCACAGCATGTAGGAAGGGACTTGCCCAAGTCACATGGGGAGTATGTGAGACAGCACGGAATAGAACCCACCCCGGACCTACTCTAACCAATAGACACCCCCCCCCCCCCCAGAACTGGGGAGAGAACCCAGGAATCCTGGCTCCCAGCCATCCCCTGCTCTAATCACTCGCTCACACGCCCCTGCACAGCCAGGGCTCCCCCGCTGTCCTCCCAGGGCTGAGGCCGGTCAGCTCGATGCACGCACCGGGCTGCCCCGGCTGCTGTTGGCTCCCTCCGCAACCCAACCAGCAGGTGCTGCAGGGCAGAGGCGGAAGGACGTCAGCCCGCAGGAAGCACCGAGCAGCGGGCTGGTGGCAGCCGGCCAGCCCGGCGCTGGGGAAGGAGGCAGGGGCGGGTGGGCAGAGCCGCACTCCCTGGACAGGGCATGTGCCCAGGCTGCCAGCCGGCAAAGGCCCCACACCGGAAAAGAAGCTGGGATACAGAGGGGGGGTGAAAAGTAAGGGGGGGGCCTCAGGACTCCTGGGTTCTATCGCCAGTTCTAGAAGGCCAGTGGGGTCTAGTGATTAGAGCAGGGTGGCCAACCTGAGCCTGAGAAGGAGCCAGAATTTACCAATGTACATTGCCAAAGGGCCCCAGTAATACCTTAGCAGCCCCGCAGCAGCTCCCCCCCCCCCGGGCCCCCAGAGCCTCCCACCCACCTGAAGCCCCGCTGATCAGCCCTCTCCCTCCCTCCCTCCCTCCCCTGGTGTGCAGGAGGCTCTGGGGTGGGGGAAGAGCAAGGGCATGGCAGGCTCAGAGAAGAGGGCAGGAAGGGGTGGAGTGGGGGCAGAGCACTCCCTGGCACATTGGAAAGTTGGCACCCGTAGCTCCAACGGCAGTCGGTGCCTATACAAGGAGCCGCATGTTGCTCCTGAGCCACAGTTTGGTCACCCCTGGGTTAGAGCCAGGGGGGCTGGGAGCCAGGACTCCTGGGTTCTATCCCCAGCTCTGGGAGGGGAGTGGGGGCTAGTGGTTAGAGCAGGGGGGCTGGGAGCCAGGACTCCTGGGTTCTCTCTCTGGCTCTGGGAGGGGAGTGGGGTCTAGTGGTTAGAGCAGGGGGGCTGGGAGCCAGGACTCCTGGGTTCTCTCCCTGGCTCTGGGAGGGGAGTGGGGGCTAGTGGTTAGAACAGGGGGGGCTGGGAGCCAGGACTCCTGGGTTCTCTCCCCAGCTCTAGGAGAGCAGGGGGGGTGGGAGTTTTCCCACAGTGGCCAATGCCAGGTGCCGGAGGGACCGAGAAGACACTGGAGGGTGGGGACCAGGTGGGGGAGCGCTGTGCTGTGGAGGGGGGCACCAGGCACAGGGGCGTTGGGGGCGACGCCGATTTACACCAGCCGGCGACCAGGGCCAGTGTCAGACCCTGCGGGGCTGAGCGGGGAACCCGGAGCCGGGGGCGTTTCCCGCAGCCTGTTTCAGGCGCCCCCTGGCTGGCAAGCGGGGGAATCCGGTGCTCGCTTTGCACCGTGTAAACGAGGCCGGGGCGGCTCCAAGACTGGGCCGGGATCACATGAGCGGATGCGGAGAGGAGCGGTAGCAGCTGGGCCTGAGCGAGCCAGGCCGCCCCCCGGCCATGGGGCAGTCGGAGAGCCGGGCTCCCCCGGTCGTGCTGGTGCAGTGGGCGCCCCCGTCTCCCCCGGCCCCGCTGGACCTGACCCCGCTGCCGGACGAGCTCCTGGCGCGGATCCTGAGCTGGGTCCCGGGCCGCGCCCTGGTGACCCGCTGCCGGCTGGTGTGTCGCCGCTGGCGGGACCTCATCGACGGGCCCACGGTCTGGCGGCTGCAGGGCGAGAGGCGCCCGGGCTTGCGGGCCACCCTGGCGGCCGCCCGCTACTGGCTCCCGTCGCAGTGGAGCCGGATCTGCCTCCTGGAGCCCTTCGGGCGCAACCTGCTCCGGAACCCCTGCGGGCAGGGTGGGTGCCGGACCGGGGGG